TCAGGAAGCAGGAAATGGGCGCCATCTTAATAACATGGCTTGGGTGTGGCCCCCAACAGGGAGGCTGTAAATAGGCTGATCACTACAAGTCTGATCTAGCAGTGAGACTCTGAACACCCTGTAGAGCCTTCCCTAAAATACAAAGAAAAAACTGTATATTATAATACATAGCATAGGGGCCAGGGAGATGGCTCAGTGGAATAAGCGCTTCCCTGGCAAGCGCAAGGGCCTAAGTTCAATCCCCAGTTCAGCCAAAAAAAAAAGCATTATAATACGTAGCATACGTATTCTGCTGTGACTGTTTATTCAGAAGTCATACACTGAATGCTCACTCGAAGGCCTGGCACTAAGCCAAGCTCAGCCTAGTGATCGAGTTCAACCCACAGTTTGCACATGCTAAGCAAGTGCTCTACACGGCACTTGCACATGCCCTCTACCTTTTAAAAAATTAGCCCATTTGTTTTGGAGGTTACCAAAGTAGGAGAGGGATCACCAGAGCGGTTGTTGTCTGCAGCCACTTTGGGAAGGCTGGGTGAACTCCAGGGCTCTGTTGCTGCAGTTTTAAGAGAGGGAGCTGTCTCTCTTCAAGGAAGCCTAGAAGCTGGAATCTATCTTTAAGTCATGCACTGCAATGCTGAATTACGGGACATATGCCAAGAGTTCTGGGCTTTGGTGGCCAGAGGTTTATAATGACCTCTGCTTAGCATAAAGGAAAAAAAAGATATAAACATGAAAAGATTTGCAAGCTAAAAGTGCTAATGATCAAGCAAGCCAGGTTATTTTTTAACTTTTTCTTTAAAACACACATGCAGAAATGCATGAAAGCTGGACATGGTGGCACACACCTGTAGTCCCAGCACTTGTGAGGCCAAGGCAGGAGGACCATTGAGAGTGCAAGGCCAGCCACGGGCACATAGTGAGTTCAAGGCCAGCCTGAACTACATAGTGAGACCCTGTCTCAAAAAATAAAAGGAAGAAGAATCAGCAATTTAGATCTCATCTTTTTGAAAAGTTTCTGCACTTCAAAGTAAATCTCCAACAGAGTAAAAAGAAAATTCACAAGCAGGAAAAATTATAGCTGACTGTCCCTCTGACAAAGGCCTCCTATCTAGAACGTATAAAGAATTTTTAAAAATCAGACCTTCCAAATTCAAAGACCCAACCCAAAAATGTGCATCTGTGATGAATACACACTTTTCAGATGAAGAAATACAAATGGCAAGTACATATATATTTTAAAAAATGGTCAATATCATTGCTCATTCGAAAAATGCAAGCTAAAGCAACGCTGAGATTCCATTTCACCCCCAGGAAGAATGGCTGTCATCAAGAAGTCAACCAATAACAAATGCTGGAGGGGCTGTGGAGAAAAAGGGACCCTTCTCCACTGTTGGTGGGAGTGCAGACTGGTACAACCACTATGGAAATCAGTGTGTAGATTCCTTAAAAAGCTAGGATTGGAGGTTCCATTCAGGCCAGCTATTCCCCTCCTGGGTATTTTTCCAGAAGAACTGAAAACATCATACCATAATGATTTATGTGCACCCATGTTTATAGCAGCTCAATTTGTCATAGCTAAATCTTGGAAACAACCCAAATGCCCATCAATTAAGGAATGGATAAAGAAGATATGGTATTTTTACACAATGGAGTATTGTTCAGATATAAAACAGGATAAATTTGAGGCTTTTATTAGTAAATAGATGCAGCTAGAGGTCATATTCTTAAGTGAAATAAATCAGACCCACATGTGCAAACATCATATTGTCTCCTTAGTGTAAAAACCTGAAAGAAAAAACAAAATCTGAAGGGTACAATAGATACTTGGAAAAGGGAATGAACCTGTTCAAAAGAGAATTACTGAGTTGAGGAAGACAGGAGAGGTAGTTAGAGAAAGATATGTCTATGTATGTAAACAGGATGAATTGGACAACTGTACTGTGGATTTCTGCTGGTCTCTGGAAAAGAGCAATTAATGCTTAATTTGCTTTGTCTCCTTCTTTCAATTCTTTGACCTTTTTCTCTTCTTAATTTCTTATATATTTCTTTCCTTTTTTTCTTTCTTCCAATTTTACATGCATATATCTGGTAATACACACAACTAGTTGGAAGACAACGCTGTGCATTACAACAAATAATATGAAATCATATTACTTTTTAAGTGAAATTCTGTATCACTTGTAATTTTCTGTTTTAATACTATTTTGTACTTGCCCTAAAAAATAAAAGGAAGAAAGAAAGAAAAGAAAAGAAAGAAAGAAAGAAAGAAAGAAAGAAAGAAAGAAAGAAAGAAAGAAAGACACACCTAACTCTAGCAGCATCCAGAGCCAGTACTGGGCCATTCCAAACCCTCTGTCTGCCCCATGAAGTCACTCCCTGTCCCTTTCGGGAAGTTGCTCTCTGGCTTCTCAGAGCCCAGGTCACCTCCCCGCCTCTGTGCTTTGTGCACTCCAGAAGCATGCAGGGTACACTCGTTTATATCTGGCTTCCTCTACCACACCCCCTACAGTGAGGGTCAGCAGATCACAGACCAGCACACAGCCCGTTCCTTCTCCACAATCCACACCAACCACTCCCCACACAGTAGGACTGTCTCCATTGATGTCCCTGTTCTACTGCTGAGGAAGTGGAGTCCCTTCTTGGGTAGGCTTTTGTCTACAGAAAAAAGGAGAAATCCTCTTACGCACATGGAGGGATCACAGATGAAGTAACCCTCCTCTTTCCACTTTAAACCTATCTGAGCATAGGAATTTTTTTGTTTTCTTCCCATTCAGTATGACAACTGCTCTGGTTATAAATTTAGCATTCATAATTTTCACTAAGAGTTACAAAAAGGAAAAGGGATTTATGTTGACAACTGGCTCTTAAGGAGTCTCCCTTGGTAATTCCAAAGAAACTGATCTGCCTCTTGGTGGTGATCACACACCAAAGGAGGGAGCAAGCTCTGGGCTCCTCTCTGGCCCTGTGACAGCGTCCTGCACCCAGGGGTGCTAATCAGTGCTTGGTCTTGGCAGACAGACAGATGGTGGGTGGAAGGGGAAGCAGCACTCAAACAGGATCCAAGAAAGGGGGAAGCCCCCCCAAAATTACCACTTTAGAAAATAAAATGATGTTTACGCACAGAATAACACAATTTCTTATTCACACATCCCACCTCTGACATTAATCAGAGGCTTCACCTATGTGCCCTACTCCATGTCATCTTTTCCACCTCTAGTGTAGTTTACAGATTTTCTTACTTTGAAGTAGAAGAAGAAGGAAAAAAAAAAAAAAAAGACAGAGAGAGAGAGGGGAAAAAAAAAAAAAAAACTATTGCTGCCCTAAAAGGAATGAGGAAGTGAGAGCTCTGCAGCGTTTGGCTGGCTCTGTCTGGGTGACAGCCCACGAAGGTCTTTCCGGTCCCAGTAATACTCTGAATTTCCACCTGCCCACCCCCGCCGCTTATAATGCCCAGCACGTGAAGTGAGAGCTGCTCCGGCCCCATCTCTCTGCCAGTGGATTAGTAACAGCACAGTGTCATGCTGGGTCTGCTGCTTCCCTGGGTTCACCAGAGGTAAAAGAACGCTGGCTAGAGACCTTCCAAGGGTAAGTACCACAGGTCAACAGGACTAGAAAATACACAGCTAAAAACAGCTACGTCAAAGAATATGCAGCACGGTTAGACTCTGAACACAGAATGCTTGACTTCAACAGGAAGGCTACGGTTTTAAGATGCAGCAATTCTGTCACATTATCTCTGGTTTAAGTTTACCATCGTGAGACTAATAGCATCGTAGGAATACATTTGTTTTTCTTTCTTGGGCTCAGTGAAAACAATCCATGCAGAGTACTTCATGCAATACTTGTGAGCACTTCAATTTTAGTGTAATTCAATATAATAACCATTGTTAATTTCCTAACATCTTGTTTTGAGATTCTTCATTGTTTTTGTTTTTTCTCTTGAAAATAAAAAATAGTTGTTATTGTAAATGATATTCAGATTAGCTCTTGAGTAGGAATGTAATGACGAACAACAAAGCTGAAATGGTAAGGACATCTAGCTTAAAACATTCAGAAGTTAAGTGAGTCCAGTTGCTTAATAGCGTACGGCATCTGGTAACAGAATGACTTTAAATGAAAACTTTTCCGACAGTGTTTTGGCAAAGTGGCCAGCTTATTCTCTTGGCCAGTTGTACTGTCTCATAACTGCTCTGTACATTTTCTTTTAGACACAGTCAGAGCCCCAAAGGAGTGAGACTCAGCCCTGGACAGGCAGCTCCAACTCCAATGAAGTTGATAAGCAGCTTCGATGCTGTATGTGCCTTTTTTACATTTACACTCATTCATATTTTCTAAAAGCAAAAAACAATGATATTCACTTATTTTTTTTTTCTGTCTTTTAGCCTAAAACACTAAATGCCAATGATATGGAGACTTTGGTCAAATGTCAGTCAGAGGTAAGAAAGCAATTTTTAAAACTTCTTATTTTTGCACTGTGAGAAAAATGGAAAGCTTGCTGTTTTAATTGAATGTTAGTTTGGCTTAGAAAATAAGAGTAGAAATTAACATCATAAATTGTAAGTACTAAGACAAATAAAGAGAGTGTGTGTGTGTGTGTGTGTGTGTGTGTGTTTTGTACAGAAAGACTGGATAGGTGAGTAGAGATTAGTGATTATTGATAAAGACCGGCTAGGTGATTAGTGATAGGCTATTAGTGATTAGTGATTATTTTAACTGAAATAAATACATTTTTAGGGTGACATCAAGGAACATCCCCTCTTGGCATCATGTGAGAGTAAAGACAGCATCTGCCAGCTAATTGGTGAGTTTTGAAAACATACTGATCTTTTTTGTAAGTGTTAATGACCAGTGTTCTTGGTTTGCAAAACCACAGTGCTCTACTCTACTAGGAATTTGTTTCTAAGTGTTCCGTTCCAGACCAGAGACCACAGAGCATTAACACCTAACTGGCAGGCACGTTCCAGCTTGCCAGTGCGGCAAATGCCCTGTTACAGCCACTCCCCCTACTCAGCAGGGTGTTTCTAGCAGGTTCCAAAATCTGGTCATCCATGCTTTGCTATTAAAAACATGGGTGAGGGCTGGGGAGATAGCTCAGTCGAATAAGCACTTGCCTGGCAAGCACAGAGTCCTGAGTTCAATCCCTTGTACCTCAAAAAATAAAATAAAATCATGGGTGCACTTGAAAAGCACAGAGTGCCTTCTCCATTTTTTTGTCCTGCTCTGATGGAGACTGCATATAAGCACCCACAAAGTGACTGGTGCTGATCTCAAAGAGGGTACATTTGCTCTTACGTTTCCTGTTAATATGTGTCACTATAACCTAACTGTGACCCAGGACTCCCGAGGTATCAGGAGCAGACACCTCACTCTCACTCTTCTTCCACTTGCCAGTATAAAATGTGTAGGAGTGTGTACCAATTGTTTAGAAAATACAGCTTTTATAATTTGGGGGGAAAAAAGAGGAAGGGGAGAAAGGAAGGAGGGAAGAAAGAAGGGGAACTGTTGCGATGCAGTAACCCCTGCAGACAAGTCTCCTGGGTTTTAGAAGAGCAGACTACTCGGTAAGGAGTTACTGATCATTCCAAATTGTCAGGTCCAGGGGGCAGCCTTCCTGCAGCAATCTGACCCTCGTCCTGCGAGAGCAGCCGGGAAAGGCAGAGGACGGCACGTGCATGAGCGATTTAGCTCCCTCTAGCGGCCTCCTGCAGCTAACGTGCTGCAAAGGGTTGGTGCCCGCCCCGCGGAAAGCCTGCAAAGGCATCTTGGGAGCAAGTCACTTCCTCTCTGTAAATTTTCGTTTTGGTCACCAATGAAAGGAAAAAATTAAAATAATCTATTCACTGAGAGAAATGCTCTCTCTGGTTGTTCAGGCTAGTGTGTTAAGCTGGTTGTTGTTTTTTTACCTGTACAGTTGGGTTTTGTTATTTTCTGTAGTAAACTGCTAGAGATGGTGAAAACAGGAAAGGTGTGGCCTTTGAGGAGCCCCAGTGTTGATGTTTAGGGCTGGTTGCCCTGATAACAGTGTGGTTGCTAGAGGTTGGTTTTCTAGATCAAGAGTCAGGCCTTTGCTTTCTCAGTTTTTCAAAATTATTTCTCCCCACATGGTGTACTATAGAAGACATGATGTGACCGGTGAAAGCAATTCTAAAGTAGGTCTTTGCTTAGTGCCATTATGCGCTGACTTTCCCCCTTTCCCCTCTTTTTTCTTGGCTGTAGAAGTTAAGAAGAGAAAGACAGGGCGGCCCTGGCCCTTTCTCACAAGAAAGCTCTCCCCTTCGTCAGATTTCTCCGGGGCTTCGGAGCCGGAGCTTAAAGTGCCGCTGTTTGATCAGCCTTTGACAGCGATCTGCAGCGAGAACGGCGCACTCCCCAGACCCATTCAAGTAAGTGTGCGTTTGCTTGAGAGTCTTCTTCGCTTTCCTATTAGGTGTGAAAGAAAAGAATCCTTGGGAGATCCGAGTGTGATTCTCACACTAAACTCCCCGGGGTGATCTTGCCAATCTTCCAGCTTAGAAACGGTCTCCCACATCCAAGTGCAGTCAGGGGCATATCTGCCTGTTGACGTTCTAGAAATTAAGTCTGCTAATGATGGGCTCTTCTTCACTCCTCTGACTCTGCAGAGGTAAGAGAGCTGAAGATTTGTAATTTCTATAGGTCAAGAGCTAGAGATAGAGTATAGCACATATCAGAAATCCAGCGTTTACATACAAGTATTTGAAAGGGGGAGGTCCTACAGGAATTTTACAATCTGCTGAATTAGAACGTTCATAGATTTCCTCCTCCTATCGAGATGGCAGAGTGAAGGAAGATAGTTGATAACAATTTTTTTAAATGTATTTTAGTACACGGTCTCACTACACAGATCGGACTCCTAGTGATCCTCCTGTTTTTCAGCCTCCCAAGTGCTGGGATAACAGGCCTGTGCCACCACACCCAATCTCTGCCTGGGGATGGGGCCGGCACCACACACCAGAATCAAACCCTGGTTCCTGTGCCTGCTTAGGCACTTTAGCCCGCTGAGCTATGATAACAATTAGATTGGAAGCCAATACAGTCTCAGTGATCTTCTTAAGATCTTTTTAATATGCTGGGTGTGGTGGTGTACCTGTAATCCCAACATTTTAGGAGGCTAAGCAGGAGGGTTGCAATTTTGAGCCAGCCCAGGCAATTTAGCAAATTAGCAGGACCCTGTCTCAATTGAAAAAAAAAAAATGTTGAAGGATGAGGTTGTAGCTCAGTGTGCCAAGAGGCAAAGAAAGAAGTCTGTTTCAATAAAATAAGGAGAATCAGCTTTTATGGGAAGATATTTGATGGCAGGTGAAGTTAAGGACTGCTCATATACAATAATTATCTTTCTCCTTCCTACAGATAGATTTTCACGTTCTCACTTCTAGAAAAGTATGCATGTGTCTACAAGCCATGGAGTGACCATTCCTGTCCCTATACCTGTTCCTACAGGACATCCTCGCTATCCTCTGCCTTAAAGGCCCCTCCACCGAAGGAATATTCAGGAAAGCAGCCAGCGAGAAGGCCCGCAAAGAGCTGAAGGAGGAGTTGAACTGCGGGAGCTCGGTAGACCTGGAGAGGCTCCCGGTGCACCTGCTGGCTGCGGTCCTGAAGGTGAGATCTCGGCATATGCAAAGCAGCTGCCCGCAGGCTCCCACACCCTCCTCCTCAGGGGCAACCTCAACTCACCTTGGAGTTTAATTTCTTTAGTTAAGCCTTTTAGTTCTTAAGAGACACGCCTCTGTTTCAGTGATCCTAGATTTCAGCAAAATTCTTCCAAAAATTTAATGAGACAAAGCAATCTAATAGCCCCAAAGATGGTTCCCCAGACTTCACCTACCTGGGAATGGTGGCCGCCTACTCTGCGCGTTGCCACGAAGTCCGTGAGGCATGGTGAGAGTCTAAAAGAGGCTCCCTCAGACTGTCCGAAGGAAGTCTGGCTGCGGTGGTCTGTGGCAGGGAGGAGAGAAGACACAGAGAGTGAAATCAAGGGGAAGCCAGGCACTGGCACCCGGAGAGATGAGGCAGCTGACCGACACTCCCCCTTCCCTCCCTTAGGACTTCCTCAGGAGCATCCCGCTTAAGCTGCTGTCCTGCGACCTCTTTGAGGAGTGGATGGGCGCCCTGGAGAAACAGGATGAAGAGGACAGAATCGAGGCCCTGAAGCAGTAAGTCCTTGAAGTCATGTTGAGGCCTAAGTCTAAGTCTCTGTCTTTTTTTTTTTTTTTTTTTGTGCAGGGTCTACAGGGTCTTGCTAAACAGATCTGACTTGTAGTGATTCTCCTATTTTCAGCTTCCCAAGTAACGGGATTAGAGGCGCGTGCCACCACACCCAGTCTCAATCGCGGTCTCAGCACGCCTGGGGGCGGGCCGGCACTGCATGCTGGTTGTCTCTTCCTCCTTTGCAGCACTGTCAAATTGCTCCTTGATTCCTGTGTCACGGAAACGGCCATGTTTAAAGCATCTATGGGGAACTGCTCGTCCACTCCCAGAATAAAAACTAGGAGATGCCCCGGATGTGTAAAAGTAGTTCGAGCCGTGAAACAGGCACTTCTTCAAAAACTAGAAAGTGACTTTTAATACTCTCAAACCCCAAGAGGTGGTAGGAGGTTGGAGGGAAAGATAAAAATATCAGGAGTTTGAAAAGGCTTGAGAATAACACCCTTACTGGAGCACTTTAACAAAGGCTAACGGGCAGGGTGCAGGAATTTTGATTATCCTTGACCTGTACTGATTGGGGCCATTCAAGGCAATAATTATCGCATAAGACGTTCCCTAATGCAATTTGGAAGCAATTATGTTGTTCATAAAATTCCATAACATATTCTGTGTTCTTATAATTAAACAAATGAAAACTATGGAAGACCAAATTCCAGTAACAGTAACTACATGTATAAAAGAGAGTGGGATCTATTCTTGATTAGTGAACCCTAAGTTCACAACTTTAAAATGGCAGAGCTTTTGCCCCATTCTGAAAAAGTCTGTCCATATAATTATACCTTGTCGCCAAATATTTTAAGTGAAACCCGTGTAGAAGTGAAGATAATTTCCTCAAAAAAAACACCCTAAAATTATTACAATAAGTTTTTACCTACATTCTTCTATACCAATAATTCTATCCATTACTATATTAGAGTACCGTTAAATTTTTTGTGAGCAAGTGAGGATTTTAAAAACTCAAATTATCCAAGTGGTAGTGCACACCTGTAGTCCTAGAGCTGGGGAGGCAGAGGCAGGAGGATTGCCATGAGGCCAGCCTGGACTACATAGTGAGCTTGAGTTACATAACAAGATTCAGTCTCAAATAAATAAATTTAAATTTCTTATTGTTAGGAACAGTGTTGGTATTTAAGCGCTACTTCAGTCATATTTATGAACATGCCTTTATACACTACTTTATGCTCTGTAAAAACTCAAGAGTGGCAGAAAACATCGGTAATGATTATTTGGTGATCACAGTTCTTTGGAGGGGGTTGTTATTTTATTTTATTTTATTTTATTTTATTTTATTTTATTTTATTTTATTTTTGCTGAAGTGGGGATTGAACTCAGGCCCTTGTGCTTGCAGGGAAGTGCTTATTCCACTGAGCCATCTCCCCAGCCTGATCACGGTTTTAAAAAGACAAGAAAACCAGTATTGTAGTCTTCAAAACCAGATTTTTGCATAGTCAAGTGACTATGCAAGAAAATGGTTTTCAAAATGTAAAGGCTAACTCTGCTGTTTGGTGCAAGCTCTGATGTATCATTTAAGATTCACATAAGTAATAGAAGGTGGTGCTGTTGGTGTTCCACGCCACAAGGCCTGGTGGCTAACCAGTTTCATTCTATGTCAGGGCCCGCCGGAGGCATCTGAGCGATATTTCACACTGTTGGTTGTGAAAATGCGCCTTCCTCATTTTAACGGAAGTCCGGTTTTGGCAGAAGCTTCCAGCAGGCTATTATGTATAAGCGAGATAAGCTCTCAGCCACTTGGAAGCTGAGATCCTTTCCCTCCATTCCAGGGTTGCAGGTCAGCTCCCCCAGCCCAACCTGCTGCTGCTCAAACACTTGGTCTCCGTGCTGCATCTGATCAGCAAGAACTCCGAGGTCAACAAGATGGACTCCAGCAACCTGGCCATCTGCATCGGGCCCAACATGCTCACCCTAGAGAACGACCAGAGCTTGTCATTTGAGGCCCAGAAGGACTTGAACCATAAGGTTGGTTCTGTTTATTTATGAGAAACTCTCGATTTATGAGCTCAGCTTCTGTTTGCAAAAGCCCAAGCGATGAAATACTTCTGAATTTCCCAAAGTGACTCAGAGTAGCAATGAAAATATAAAAAGTGGACTGTTTTTGTCACAGTTCCACTTTCTTAGAGAATCATTTGATGAAGCAGAATAAATTTGTGTTTTCTGTCATCCTAGAAGATACTGCTTTCTGCCAATTCAGCAATCAATGTAGGAAATAGCTTGTTTAAGTAAAAAATTCAGCTACTTTAAAGTAAAATCTTTAAGTCTTTAATTTTAAATGCCTGTCTCAAAAAAGCAGCAAATAATATCCAACTTTAATATGCTTGTTTGGTTTTGTTTTTTTTTTGTTTGTTTGTTTTGTTTGTTTGTTTTTGTTTTGTTTCTTTTTGCAGTACTAGGGATTGAACTCAGGACCCTGTGCTTGCAAGGCAAGCATTTATTCTACTGAGCTATCTCCCTGGGCCTAATATGTTTGTGTATAAAACTTCTATATGCTATTTTCAGACACATAAAAATCTCTAATAAAACTTCTATATGCTATTTTCAGACACATAAAAATCTCTAATTCTCTAGGTACCTTCTTAATAGTTGACCCCCAATATGTCTTTATCTGTTGCCCCTCCCTAAAAAAATGTCCTTAAGCTGACAACCTGCTTATTTTTCCACACAGGTGAAGACATTGGTGGAATTTCTCATTGACAACTGCTTTGAAATATTTGGAGAGAATATTCCAGCTCATTCCAGCACCCGTATTGCCTCTGATGACTCTCTGGAGCACACTGACAGTTCAGGTACATAGTGTGCTCTCATTTGATTACATGATTCTGGGCAGAAGTTCCTTCCAGTCAGCCAGCTCATGCTACTACTGTAAAGCATCCCTGGTATTTGAGATAGAAGCCACCCTCTCTTGTCACCAAGCCAGACTAGACTCAAGTCTGTAAGAAATTTGCTGAACATAAAAGCTTGGCCCTAGAATTTTCCCAAAGCACCTCCTCAGACTGTGTATACTCTTTCAATGTCATTCTAGAACTTTCTGCTAATTTTACTAAATAAGCATAGCTGGAGACTTAGGGTAATATATTTACATATCTAAGTAGTGGAATATGAGTCCATTAAAATGGAAGTGGATCCAATAAAAGAGCACCTCCAAAAAATCAATTTTAAAATGTAAGATCAATAAATTTTCAGGGAATATTGCCCTCCTCCTCCTCCTCCTCCTCCTCCTCTTTCTCCTTGTCCTCTTTCTCTTTCTCTTCTTCTTCCTCCTCCTTCTTTCTCTACATCTTCCTCCCTTTTTTACCTCCTCCATCCCACACTTTTTTTTTTTTTTTTGTGATACCAGGGATTGAACTCAGGACCTTGTGCCTGCCCAACAGGAGTTTATGCCCCTGAGCTATATTCCCAGCCTCCCTCACTCATTTTATTTTCCTACTTTCTTATCTCAAGATAAATTTGGAAAGAAACAAAATTTAATATGGAAAAGTTCTTATATTAAGCTCCGTGTGATCCCACTAAAACACCTGGTGCCATAATTGACACAAATAGGCAGGCCTGTAATGTTATCTCTAAAGAAACTGAACAAAAATTCAACTTATTCTTACTTTTTCCCAGATGTGTCAACCCTGCAGCATGACTCAGCCTATGACAGCAATGATCCAGATGCTGAATCCACCAGTGCCCACAACTCCCCCAGCATGCAGCCCCAGGTCCCCACTGCCGTGGCTGCTGGTCTGGACAACAAGAGGGGACAAGACACCTGTGCGTTAGGCCAGGAACCCCTTGTCAGCACAGTAGCCAGGCTGAAAAGCTCCCTCAGCCAGCGGGCAGACAGGAGATTCTCAGAACCTATCAGGCCACCTTCACAGGAGTACCTCGAGGGCTGGATGACGAACCAAAAACTGACGAAAAGTGAGGACAATTTCACTCTGGCCCGGGCAGGCTCTTGTTTTGAAAGTGAGGAAGTTGAAGATCCATTTCCAGAGGAAGTGTTCTCTTCAGTAGAAGGCAAAACCAAGAGACCAGTAGACCTCAGGATCAAGAACCTGATCCAGGGTTTGACCTTGCCTCACGGAGAGGCACCCAAAGCCCTTTCCAGTGGCTCCCTTGATGGGTACTCTGACTGCTCACCTACAGGTTCTCCTTCCTGTCCCAAAAGAAGTATTTTCACCAGACATCAATCTTTCACCACAAAGAATGAGAAAAGCAAGCCCAACAGAGAAATTAAAAAGCATTCCATGTCATTCTCTTTTGCTTCTCATAAAAAAGTACTTCCCAAAGCGCCCAGCTTTGTGTCTAGGAAATCAAAGGACCTTCCCAGAGACCAGGTCAAGAAGAGTCTGAGGAAGGAAAGCCAGTTAGCTGGTCGAATTGTGCAGGAAAATGGGTCTGACCTTCACAGCCAAACAGCTGTCAGCTTTGGCTTGCCATCCAGGGCCCTCTCAGGTGACAATGTGTTCCAGGGAGTTGATAACACAAGTCCCGGAAGCCCACCATCTTATGAGGAGGCCGTTCAGTGCCAGGCTTTGGGACTTGGGGCCTATAGTGGTCAGACTGTTGGAAGTATGAGGGCAAGAATGCTCAGCCAGGACTCCACACAGTCATCTCTTCTGCCTTCTTACCACGGAGAGGACTCTAGGAGCAGTTGGCATGTGGAGGAGACGCATAGTGGACACAGAAGGTCAGCCGTAGCTGAGTACTGGAGACAGAGCAGGACTGCCAGTGCCTCTGTGGAAACTCAAGGGCATGTGACTGCACCAGGGAAACCTGAACTTCGGCTCAGGACCATGTCCGAAGATTCTGTTCAGCAGGATAAGTGGGACTGTCTCCGGCGACGATGTAGCCAGCCAATCTTTGAGGCTGAACAGCTCCAATATATTAAAGAATCCTACATTTAGGAAGGGATGCCACACACTGTAATCAGCTGTGGTGTCATTGTGTGTCTCTGTATGTGTGACTGTATAAAGATATACATAGATTATATTTTCCAAAAAAGTCATGAATAAGCTAGTTTAGAACATCACACAGTCCTATTCTGTAAGGATACCTACATGGTGTGCATCAGATAGTCTCTGTGCATACCTAGATTTGTGCAATGCATAGCAAATGTAAAAAGTGTATTATACACAAGATAGGGTCTGCGTGAATTCCCACGTACCTTTGTGGACTGTTGACTTGTGTGCACTATTTTTCTTTGGTCTCTGGGGCATTTGTCCCATTGGTTATTGTTTAAAAATCATCTTTGCTCTTTTTAATGTTGCTTCAGATGTTATGTCAATTTTCTACAAATTCCATTTAAGGGAAAATGTTTAAATTTCTGGGGCCTGGTGAGATAGCTCAGCCCCCCAGGGTGGACCGAGCCAGCCAGAGTCCAGACATAGTGGTTCACACCTGCAATCCAAGTGCTGGAGGCTGAAAACAGGAGGATCACCATGAGTTCGAGCTTCACAGTGAGACCCTGTCACAACCAAATACATTTTAAAAAAATTAAAATAAATTTCTGGAATAAGTTTACCCTACTAAACAAATGGACTGCAAGAAACAGAGTTCAGTGAGTAGGGTCATCAATGGCATTAGAAGTAAAAGTTTTAACGAAATTATGAAAATTATGTGTGTCCTTTAAACACACTTAAATTTGGAAATGGATTACATCAATATGATTTAGTCAATGATTACATGATAATTCATTTGATAAATGAATTTAGTGCACTTTGCGTTTCTTTGTTGTTCTATGGCATATTATATTATAGCATGGAGGTAAATGATGTTATTTACATTGGGGGTCATATATAAAACTTCAATGTAATTTCACTACAATAAATTGTCTTCCCTATTTAAAAGTAAAAGTGTCCATTCCTTATTGACATGCTACCATCTTTCCCTCAGTTAATTAATCAAGAAAATTAATCACACATGGGTTCACTGAACAAACATTTACTGACTATATATTCATTATTCCAAACTAATAAGCAAGCCTAGAAATCTGTGTTTAGGAACACACAGTCCCTAGTCTCTGGAAGTCTGCAAAACCATAAAAAAGTGCCCACTTTATGCCACCTTTTCAGCAAACAGTCACTTGGAGGCCAGAAAAATTTAGTACACCAATATAGGATAATGTAGTAAATGCAATCTTTCCCATTTCTAGTGAATTAGGCTTTTCAGTACTTCTGTGCATGAATATCTTTCTTCACTTTGATTCTCAATTTGCTGAAGTGTTAGCAATCATAATGACAAACTGTTGGTGATCTATTAGAATTTTACTGACCACTGATTAATACACTTTTCCAGTACCTTAGAACTGAAGGACTTAAGTTGTCTTTATTTTAAAAATCTTTTCACAAAACATTATGTATGCCTTGGACCTGTTACAAAAACATTTTTGTATTAGGTAGCCACTCGATGATGAAGACTTACTGTTTTCTGAGGTGATTTACTAATAAATAATATTGTACACATTTGTCTATACTGTAAACAAGATTGCTCATGAAAGCATGCTTAGGCTTGATATTAAAAATAATCTATTAAGCATCAATAACATAAATTTCAAGGAGTAAACCCTCTCCTTCTGGCTGCTAATTGAAGAAAAACAATTCCTTTTCAGAGCCAAGCACTAGTAGAGATAGTTTTAGCATCTCCTATGCACCAATCACTGTACTAATTCTCAGTGGGCATTGTCTGACCTCTCTGTGTATATGTCTCTAAAGGCCCCTTTCTTAAAAGAACATAGACCATGCTGGATAAGGGCTCACTGTAGTCCTTAAATGACCTCATTTTACCTCCTTAATCACCCGACTTCCAAATATGGTAACATCCTAAGGCACTGGGAGTTAGGATATCATTGTTTGAATTTTGATGGTGGGTGATGGTGGTGGATTCAATTCATCCAGTAACAAGTTTTATAAAATAGAATTTAATGATACTTTGATTTCTTCACAAGTTGTTAATATTTTACCATAAACACAAGGCTAAGTCTTCCAGTGAGATCTGGATGGTATTACCATTATACTTTAGTCCAGGCTCCAAGAACACCAGAGTTCTGTCAGCCAAGGATGACCTAAGGACCCATACAATGAAAAGTGGGGCCATCACAAGTGTGCCTGGTGCCTCAGAGCAAGGTGTCTGGTAATACCAGATTGAAAAAGTCAAGGTCCACACCAGCATTTAAACCCAAAATTAGTTTTGATCCCCTGAGAAATGTTCTTTCCTCCTCTAAAGAGAGGAAGGGCTGTGTGGACACAATGCCCTATGATTATTTACAGTGACTCACTTTGCCCCACCCCCAGCACTACCCTGGCCTAAAAGAAATCAAAGCCTGATCTGGAAATGTTGACTGTGAAAAGTTAACCAAAACTAGATTTATCTCCAACCACCTCAAAGCTCAAACACAACAAATATTGCATGGCTCTTCACTGGGTCCCACAGTAGTTAAGTAGTGAGTAGGGTCTGCAACACCAATAAGTCAAGCAGTAATGGCCACAGCTCTTCCAGAGATGGTCAGAGATGAGAATATCCAGACAGCTGTTATAAATGTTGTTTATTCTAATGCATGATTAAGAGAATAAATAGATGAGATATCCCTGATTATGATCTCCTAGAAAGAACCATGGATACATATTTTCCTCCTAAAAGGCCACGCCCACAGAAACCCACATGAGGTGAAATCCTACATCGCTAGAATTCTTTTTGCATTGAATTATATAATCTTAACTTTTCATCTGCAAAGGGAGAACTGCTAAGGAATTAGAAGCATACACATTTCTGCCAGAGGTGACAGTGAATCACTTTCTAGCCATATTTCAAATGTGGATTGAGACCCTGCATTTCATCCACTCTAGAATGCAATTAAATGTAAGTGAGAAAACAATTAATGGAATGATGTGCTGCATTCCTCCTACTGCAGGCCACAGAGGGAGGGGCATTGTGAAACAAGCAACCCTGCAGATGCAAATATCTTGCCAGAAAGTAGAAATGAAGAATGGTAACAGCTCTGTGGAAAAAGAACGGCAACATGTTGACAGAGTCCATGACCTGAATTCATAGAACCTGAGCTTTTGAACTTGCCACAGTCTGCCTCCATGAACAAATCACTGACCCTGTCAAACAGCAGTTTCTCCATCGAAGAAATAATAACATGCATCCATGGTGGAATGCCTATAACAGCCTTGTCAGGCTCCACCCAGACAAGGGAATTATGTAAGAAGGAGGTGTGTGCTCTCTGTTGAAAGTACAGTAGGCAGCCAAGCATGGTGGTGCATGCTGTAATCCCAGCACTTGAGAAGCTGAGACAGGAAAATCACCAGGAATTTTAGGCCATAGTGAGTTCAAGGCTACCTGAGCTACACAGTGAGACCTTCTTTCAAGAAATCAAAACAACAACAAAAAAAAAGAAAGAAAGAAAAAGGAAAGAAAAGCAGATTGGGGATCTAAGGTCTGAACAGAGGCTCCATGACAGCCTCTAGGCCCAGGTTCTTTCCTGCTTAGGGATAGCTTCATGTGACTGAGACCAATGGGCATAAACTGGGATAATGCCTTGTCATCGGCCTTTTTAATTTTAATAACCATTGCATTTTACTATACTCTGTGCCTTGAAGATTAGTCAGTCTTGTTCATACTTTCTAGCTTTCCATTCCACCTCCTTTCTTTGAGTATGATTCTTTCTCCAGATTTAAAAAAAACTTTAATTTTATTTTTCCTTTTTACTATGATTGGGACTTAAATGTCCCCCAAAGGCCCAAAAGCTATGAGTCTGGTTACCAGCCTGTGGCACTATGGGAGGGTATAGGAACCTAGAAGGTGGGGCCTAGTGGGAGGAAGTGAAGCCATTGTGGATGTACCCTTCCTAGGCCTTTCCTGTCTCTTTCTTTGCTTCATGGCTTCAGGGAGGTGAGTAGATGGGATCCACCATGCACTCCCATCATGGCATTCTGCCTCTACCATGAACTGAGGCCTCTGAAAATGAGAGCCAAAATAAATTTTATCTCCTTATAAGGTAATTATCTCAGGCACTTTCTCACAGTAACAAAGCGTTAAATAGTATGCTTTCTTAACTGCATTCATTTTTACTTTTCATTATCAATATAAACTATTTTAACTATTTGTCAGATCCTGAAAGTAACATACATATTTTATATGTTATATATAGTTGCATATATTATGGACACATATATTTAAAGAAGCATAATTAGCTCTTCCAATTGTTTGGGAGTTTTCTTAACAGAAAGATACCAGAGAGTTAAGGAAAGAAATCAATTAATTTACTTCGAATAGGCTTGGATTAAAAAGATCCTTGCATGATAAACATAGGGCTTTGAAAGTCAATAAAAATAACCCAGAAGATCTTCAGTTAAAAAAGTAACAAAGATATATGTTATAGAGATGTGAACAGACCACATAGTAGCCATTTTCTTACATAATGCTTTGCCTTTTTCATAAAAATTCTGATGGGAAATATCTTTTGCACCAAAGACGAAAAAAGAACATCTTCACTATTTCTTCCTCATGATATGACCAAATCCTACACCCAGCTAGAGACTCTTTATTTTATTTTATTTCTTCCCACGGTACCAGGGATTGAACTCAGGACCCTACGCTCACCAGACAGGCACTTATTCCACTGAGCTATCTCCTCAGCCCCTAGAGACTCTTGAAAATGTCCCTAGATAACAAACAAATACAGTTGAATAAAGAGAAGCATTACTTTTGGAGCAAAAAATATAAAAATCACAAAATATGTTAAGGTTTTCAAAGTTAACTCATAAATTTAAGGTGATGTTGATATAAGATCAACAGGGATTATTGAAGGAAAGGAGTGTTGTTTACAGGAACAAGACAAACTAAACCAAAGAACATGGTTCTGAAAAATAAGCACTAACAAGAGAATTTCATCTAGAAAAGAGAAGGAAGACAAAGCAGCCCTGCTT